CTAGCATCCCATTATTTTTCTGAAAGTAATCATTCTGAGTCAATGAAAATATCATTCCTGTGTTGAATAAAGGTACCCCTTGGAGCTGCGAAAAGAGAAGGCAACTAAGGATAAGGTATTCTTGTTCAACATACATCTTGCACATGCCCTTAATTATTGAATTTGCATATTATGAAATGTCTGTCTTCATCCTTCGAGATTTCATTCTTTAGTTTCTTAATTTCTTTTATTTGGGCATGTATGGTATTTTTACCTTTTGTTGTTTCAAAGCCATTTCGTGAGTGATGCATTTGGTTTCTTGTTTAAATTGTTTTGCAGTTGAAGAAGAGTTCTGATGAGAGACACAGTGATGTGTCCCTTGAAAGCAAGACAGGTGTGGTGGACAGGGACAATGCTGTATCATATGGTGAAGATGACAATTCAGATGACGATGACACTGAGATTGAAAGTGGCATGAGTAATATCTCTTTAAATATGAAAAGAAATGCAGTGATTACTAATGGCAAGGTACCTACTGAATCTGACGAGAAAGTCCGTGATACTGGCAAAAAAGTTTCTGTGCAAAATTCCATTTTACCAGAGGTTTGTCATCGACTGGAATTCTCTGTCATGGCTTCTATTTTCATCTGATCTCAGTCTTTTAACTTTAGTCTAACTTTCAGATAGTGAAGCCTTGTGGACGTATCAATTCCTGTATGGTTGTGGGAAAAGACACATTATACATCTATGGGGGTATGATGGAAATTAGAGATCAAGAGATTACTCTTGATGATCTTTATATGCTTAACCTCAGCAAACTGGATGAATGGAAATGCTTAATACCGGTTTGTTTGTTCTCTCCTTATCAATGTTTATAGTCTCATGTTATTTGATTTTATCTTCGTTCAGTTTTATTCTCCCTCCGTTTATATCATTACCCGAGTTTGCACTCCTTGTATGAGCATCTCTGTGTTCAAATCATACTCGTACTATTGTCCATCTGGTAGATGGAAAAGCATATGCTCTTTCAAATTATTGATTATATTCACCTCTCCCTGGAAAAATTGATTATTTTATTGGAGATTACTCTATTTATATAATTAACGTCACATACATGCGCTATAAAACTTTATTATTTGCCTTGCTTTCTGTTTTTGTTAATATTGTTTGTACAACACAGGCATCTGAATCAGAGTGGATTGAAGCCTCAGATAACGATGATGATGATGATGATGATGATGATGATGAAGATGATAGTGAAAATGAAGACGGTGACGATGAAGATGATAGTGAAGATTCTGTTGATGAAGATGGTGATGTAGAGGTTTTTCTCTTGTCAACAGAATCCTGAAAGATAACCATTCTTCTATTTAATCTTTCTGTGTTTTTTTTAAAGAGAACTAATTTACGTGTTTTTGTGTGAAGGCTACAAGTGGTGGCGAAAGGTCGCTCCAAATGGGAGCTGCCGTAGCTATAATAAAAGGAGAAGGAAAAAATCTTAGAAGAAAGGAAAAACGAGCCAGAATTGAGCAAATCAGAGCGAGTCTTGGTCTTTCTGATTCACAGAGAACACCAGTGGTACAATAGACAAGATTTTAGTTCATCTTTCTTCCTTAATATAGTCAAGTACTTCACAGTCCACCTTACTAGACAAGTCTTAATGGACTGACCCTTGCTTGATATTTGCTTCTACTTGTCGCTCTCTGATATTAACAACTGACTTGTTCTTCAATGTTGTTTGATGAAGCCCGGGGAATCTCTGAAGGACTTCTACAAACGTACAAATATGTACTGGCAAATGGCTGCACATGAACATACACAACACACCGGAAAGGTTTGTCTCTATCCTGATAAATAAATATATACTGACTTTTACATCGGATTGACTTTGTTTCGTTTGTAATTCTTTTTTAGTTCTACGCAAGTTATTAGTTGGCAAGGTTGTAAATTCCTTGTTTGGTTATTTCAGTTTGATGCGTGGTAATAATCTAATGATGGTTCAAGAATTGGTGAACCTAAGATTTAATTTACTAGTGTTACTCTTCTGTAAAATTGTGCTTGAGCTTCACTCATTGTTGAGGCAAATTCAACTAAAATTTATGTGTCATACCAAAGATCAGAAATTTAGAATCTATTTATGGAATGAAAAAAGAAAAGGAATTATGAAGCCCGCGCTGTAAAAGTGATCTCTATGTGATTTAGGTCTTCGCGATTGCTTTTGGAACCCTGGATTTGTATTCTCAAACAATCACAACTATTTTAGGCTTTTGATAAACTCAATAAAAAGATGATGGAAAAATTTATATCATGTGGCAGCAGCTTTTGAGAAGAAGCATATAGCTTTTCAGATTTTGCTTTTAGCTTCTCCAAAGTGAGTGACTTGGTAAAAAGTGGATACCAGCGTTTAATTAGGACTTAGGAGTGAGGGTGGCGGGGAAGCTTTTAGTCAGTCGAGTCTTAAGGCGGGTGGAAGGAAGTTTGGTCACTTCTGGGGCCATTTAATGTTCGGTATTCATTTTGGCGTGCTAACCATGAAGCTCTCCCAACTAAATATAACCTCTATAGGCGTGAAAACTGATGCGGGATGTGGATGGTGCTGGGTGATAGAGACGATCTGCTATTTGAATATGGGGAGGCGAGGAGGGTATGAAAAGCTGCTGGCTGGTGGGGAACCGTTAAATCTTTCCTAGGAACAATGAATGTGTGGGACATCTTGTTTGGATTGTTCAAATGGGTCCCAGCCTAGGATCTTGGATATATTGGTTGTACATTATGGGAAATCTGGTACTAGCATGGCTCAGCAGATCGGGTATCAGATTTCATAGATATCATGGGCAGCCTTTTACTATGGAGCTAAGAGGGGGCAGGGAAACATAAACAGGGAGGACGACCAATGCCTCCTCCTTGATGGAGCATCATTTGTTGGGTTGTTTAAAATTAAACATGGAAGCATTTGTAAGGGAGGAGCATGCTTCATTGCTTTTGGGGCTGTGGCACGTAGGGGTGGGCGTGGGTTGGGTTGGTTTTGGGGTGAACCCGAAACTAAAATCAACTTGGTTGGTTGGTTAAAGTCTGAACCAAAACCGACCTAATTCAAGAGTCAAACCGAACCGACTCAAACTGATTGTTAATCAGCCCAAACATGATGTATACATCTACCAAGAGAATCAAAAAAGAAAAAATATGTTGTGGAAAAATCAATCAAACATGTTGCCATAATGTCATTCAAGAAACTAATTCGAACTTCTAATCTTGTTGAGAAGGGATAAAAAAATTTCAAGTCACTACTAACTAGGGTTGGACATGGAGAAGATGAACTGGAATTCAATAAAATTCAAGAAATTACCTAGTCGGTAGCTGTCGGAGGAGAGACTAGCAAGTTCATCGGAAAGGGAGACATCGAGAGAGAGATGGTGAGAGAGACACGGGATATAGGTCTTGGGTAGGCTTTGCGAATTGGGTATCTTTGGTTGGGACATGGATCTTGCACTTTGCTGCTTCTGCGGTTATACTTTCCAATTTATGTGTTTATAATTGATTTAGGTTTGAATATTAAAAGAACCATTCCAGATCAGGTTGATAGGTAAAATCCAGAACCAAACCGACCTAATTTTACTATTAAGGATTAACCAACCCAAATCGCGAGGCACTCAAAAACCAACCCAAGTTGGTTCGGATCGGTCAGGTGAGTCGGGCTTGTGGTTAAAATGCCCAGCCCTAGTGATACGGGATGAATATGGTATGGTCATGGCTGTATATGCAAAGTGCACTTCAGGGCACTATACGTGGACAATGCAGAGGCTAGGGCGATAGAGATGGCCTAAATTTTGCTGAAGACATGGGTTTCCAGCTTGAGCGCATGCAGTGTCTCTCTCTCTGAGTTGTTCAAATCCAGAAATCTAATTTCCAGCGTGCCCCAAATGCCGATATCTTTTCAGATCTCTGTTCGTTGACATCAGCAATATTGTGTGGTTCTTGCTGTTTTATTCCTCACGAGGGGAATAAAGTGAGCCATGAAGTCGCTTCTTATAATTTTGTTGAGTTAGGTATTAAATTTTTGATAGAGTGTAGTCTTATTTTTATTTTGTTTGCACATTGCAGCGATATATAAGGTGATCATTATGTTCAATGTCGATATTAGTACTTGCATACAAAAACACCAATAAAGTAGTTACCAAACGCTCAAATGCTTATCTTGATACATACAACAATTTTTAATTTTTTTTGCCGGACACTAAACTGATGCTTTTTGCGGCTAATTTTTTCTTTTGGGCAGCTGAAGCTGATTCTCCTAAAATCTATAGCAATACCAAACCAAGTTTTGTGCTTATATTTTTGGTCTCTTTGAAATTGTTTATTTTGGTTTTCCTTGTGCGATTTCTTTAGTCTTGTAAGTCTGTTTTTGCATTTTTCAACGAAACTATGTGGTGACGATATAGTTCTCTTGGCACTATAGGAACTCCGCAAAGATGGTTTTGATCTTGCTGAAACTCGTTACAAGGAACTGAAGCCAATCCTTGACGAGGTACACTTTAATTTCTAGTCATTAAATTCGTCTACTAACAATTAATTATGCAAATCTTAACATAGTAACTTACACTATACATGTGGACACACTTTAGTTGGCTGTTTTAGAGGAAGAACAGAAAGCAGAAGAGGCTGAAGGACCTGAGACTAGTGGCTCTAGAAAGAAGGGCAGTAAAAAGAAAAAGCTTTCAGCAGCCAAGTAATTTTACTACATGTTATTATCCCAATTTAATAGGGGGATTGATTATCAGATTTTTTTTTTTTGATCCTAATTATTTTATGTTATTTCTTTGTATTAGAAAATGATAAATATTTTGATTTTGATTTTGGGTTTATTGAGAAACATGAGTAAGCTGTGTAACATTATAAATTTTTTTTGGTTAGTGATGCGTTTCTTAAAGAAAATGATTCGGAAAAACGATGCCATTTTAACAGATATTCTGTTTTTACTTAGAGATGTATGTCCGGGAATGAAATAACCCATAGTTGTTGTCATTCGGGCAGTTTGTCGAAATTGTAACAATTATGAAAGTTTAAAATTCAAGAATGAATTATTGAAATCACAAAGGCATGAAGTTCATTAATGGACTGTGTTTCTAACCTGAGCGTTAAACAGATGTGTTCTTTCTTAGAAAGCTCTTTTGTAGGAGAAGAAACAAAAACGAAACAAAAACTATCTCGAACATACCTTAAAAAGTGTATTATGTTTTATGCCATTGTAACAGCTACGAGTTTTAAATCAACCTCTCTGTGTGCAAAGATTTGCCCTTGTTTGAGCCTCAAATAATGTATTTTGGAACAGTAGATTAATAGATAATATGTGGATAAAACATAAAGAAAAATTTTGAGTTTACGTGTAATATTATTTTATTGAAAAATGTGTGATTGAAAAGAAGAAAGAGAAAAATGAATTTTGAAAATAATGGGAATGAAATGTGGAAGTCTCTGTTGACATCATGTCGATGTTGTAGATCTGTGGAATCAATTCCTCGTGTACTTCTAAGTGG